GTTTCCAAGCTTTAAATAGCATACACATTTATTCTATATTATCTAGTTGCCTTTTTTGTGCAAGTATTTCCTGCCTCTGTGGTTCCAAAAGCTCACATTCACCTCAACAAATATAGACTATAACCGCCTCTATAATTTGCCACAGTATATGGATTTTTAAAATATACAGAACTTGAGCTCTGTTGAAGTTGTGTAATCTGGCCATTACCTTACTGCTACACATTTCATATTGTAGTGCTCACATTTCATATTTAGTGTTCTCTTGCAGAACTATGCTACAAAATATATAAATTTTCTCTGCTTTAGATACATACAAAATACATATGTTTAATACTAATCACTTATGCATGTTTGACAGGCCACATTTTAAAATACAATATGGTGTTTTATTTTCCTGAATATTAAATACTGATTATTCTTTTTTACTTTTTATCAGAATGTATGGCATCATATCTAAAGTAACAACTATTCTTAGCATTACGTTTTGAATCTGTATTAATCTAGTTACTCTTTGCTTATGGCTTTTTTTAAGTTTATTTATTTATTTTGAGAGACAGACAGAGAGAGAGGGAGAATTTCAAGCAGGCTCCTCACTACCAGTGCAGAGACTGATGCAAGGCTCGAACTCACAAACCGTGAGATCATGACCTGATTCAAAATCAAGAATTGGACGTTTAACAACTGAGCCACCCAGGCACCCCTGCTTATGGCTTTTATTAACATTATTGTGTGTGCATTAGTGGTCCTATGCATCTTAGGGGAAAAAATCCAAGAAGGATTTCATTTAGAATACATTTCCTATAAGTTAATGGAAAGGAATAAGTATAAACAATAAAGCAAAAATCGCTTGATCAGGCGAAAATCCCCTGATAGTGTAAGTTCTGCCAAAAATGCTTTTATTTTTGTTCCACCTCATTCCTCAGGTAATACATAAGATGTCGGTCACTTCAGAGAGACTTCTTTGTGTATATAGGTATGTGTTGAATCACAATACACTGTTTATTCTTTTCAGAGAGCATTAAAATTTGTGATCGTTAGTTTGATATATTGTTTTTGGTTATTAACAAGGTCCCAGAATGGCAGCACAATCTGCACAAAAGAAAAAGTTGAGGTCTGTGCAGGGAACGGACATGCCCGGGTGGCTGAAAGCATGGAGCGTGGACACAAGATGACAGAAAGAAGGCACCAGGGGCTCACGAGCCCCAAGCATGCAGTTCCTTTAAGCTATGAGGAGGTTCAGTTCACTCAAAGCACAATGTCAGGATCACTTGACTAATTGTGGTGTGATTCAATGGGAGATACGGGAGCACAGAGCCTGACGCCAGGCTTGAGCTCACAAGTGGTGAGATCATGACCTGAGCCAAAGTCAGACTCAACCAACCGAGCTACCCAGGCACCCTGGTAAATCTTATTTATCTGTTGTTATCCCTGTTTTTTGAGCATACTGTCTCTCTTTTAAAACAAAGAAAATAAACTGGAAAAAAACCAAAACAAAACAATGTTACAGTAAAGTGACATATTAGTGATTGTATAGCACTGAGGAAAACTGTCACCTTGCCTCAGAGACAGATGGGTCAGCCAGCCTGCAGGCATTTTTCCTTTTAACTGTCACAAGAACTAACTGAGATACATGATATTTCCATCTCCCCTTACAGGTAGGATAATGAGTCAAAGGCAATTTATATAATTTGTCCAAGATCATCTATGTAGAAAGAGGCAGAATCAGAGCTTGAACCAGTAGAGTCTGGATGGAGCCCAATATCTTACACATTAAATGTCTCTTTAATGAGAGATGTTTACTGGCATTAATTATACATGTAGACCCATCATATGTCACTTATTTGGTTATTTAGTACCTTAAAAATACTTGCAGTCCTCATGGTAGCCTGATTAAATGAACATTTAAAAAAATGTTTTAAACATTTATTTATTTTTGAAAGACAGAGACAGAGTGCAAGTGGGGGGGGTAGAGAGAGAGGGAGACACAGAATTCGAAGCAGGCTCCAGGTTCTGAGCTGTCAGCACAGAGCCTGATGAGGGGCTTGAACCCACGAACCATGAGATCATGACCTGAGCCAAAGTCAGACACTTAACTGACTGAACCACCAAGATGCCCCTAAGTGAACATTTTTAACAGCTTTATTGAGGTGTAGTTAATACAAAAATATTGCACATATTTAATATTTATAATTTGATGGGTTTGAACATATGCACGTATCTGTGAATCCGTCACTTAATCAAAGTAATAAACATGTCTTTCACCTCCAGGAGTTTCCCCATGCCTCCTCCCTCCTCCTTTTTTTGTGGTAGGGAAAATGCAAAATTCAGTGGAAGAAACCAGAGTCAATAGCACTAAAATATTTTCTCACAACACATCAAAGGCTTTGTACTACAACCACTGACAAATACTTTCACAGTCATTGAAATAAATCATGCATATGTACATGTGCACATACGTATAGGGAAAATCAGTGCTTTAATAGATACACATAAGGATTCAATATCCCCATTTACACTTGCTTGAGAAACACTTGAGAACAGGAAAAACTATTCAAGTTCAAGGACTGAATGATTAAACCCAACTCAACTTTGTTTAGTCAGATGTGAAAAAATACATAGTTAATTGGTAGGCAAGGTCTCCTTGTACCAGAATCCAATTATAGAGTCTTCAAAACACTAGTGAAATAAAAGTTAATGAGACATTTTTAAAGACATTACAATTTTATTATACTGATTTATTTTGAAAAATGGCAAGGATAAATTTAAGTTTAATATGCTGAAATAAATTTTCTGTCTTCATTTTGGAATTCCAGCCAAAAGAAATATTAAATAGTGAATAATGGAGATATATATCCATATGATATGTAAACATATATAAAAAATATTTGTGTGCTTCTCACTAAGGATTCCTTTTGTTATTTTCTTTTTTAAAAACTGGTCTTGGTTTACCAGTGGTCCAAGAAATTTGGTCAGCTATATTATCATTGCGTCTGAATTAACATAAATGTAGGAACAATTGCTCCAAATCATCACTAATTCAAATGTGATTGAACATATACCAATGCTAACAAAAATAATTGCAACCTTGAATCTATATTATTATAAGTATTATAATAAGGAGTGAGTTGATCTGGCACCTCTACAGAACACTTGTTAATATGTGTTTTTTTTCTTGCAACTGAAAAGGATATATATTTAACTTTATCATACCTTTTTCTTCAGTAAATAAAGACTTATTTTGTAAGTTGTTAGTATGATGAAACCCGTTCAGTTGATTAAGCGGATGATTCATAAGGAGACAGTTTATGATCTGTAACTATATAAAAGCAAAAAAAAAATATGAGGGGAATTAATATCATGTACATTAAATGTTAACTTATAACAATAAATCTTACTTGAAAATAAAAATGGATAATCTTATACAACCACAGAACTTTATTAATTTGTAGATTAAGCTGCGTGTTTTAAGCATTTATTTTAAAGAAAAAGTTGTACTCTCTATGTCGTCAATAAAGCTATGTTGCTATGAATAAAGTAATGGGCGTACATACTGATAAGAAGGTCTGTTTTTACCAATTAATTTGTGTTTGTTATTTATATGGAAAGCTGCTTGTAGTTTCTGTGTAAAGCTCTGAAATTTTTAAGACTGTCCGTGTTATCTGTGCTGTGAAGCGTCTTCATTTCTAGGAGACACTTTAAGACTTCTGTCTCCTATATACAGTAATGACCTGACAGTGATATGACACATAATATGTACTAAAGAAAGATTGAATAAATTAGTGTGACTATGAATTTTTATTTTTATGTGCTTGTATCACCCACTAAACTACCAAAATCTTTGAGGACATCATGTCTTATTAATAGTGTTTGTGTAGAATTTATCATTATATTAACTGTAGAATGAAAGTGGTTCATCAGTCTGATGTCATTTTGACTGCAAGTGACAGAAAACTCGACAATCACACCTTAAGTAAAGTTAGGTGATTATTCTCACATGGCAAGAAAACCAGAGGTATGCGTTCTAGATTTCATGGCATGGTTCAATCATCAAATCAAGCTCTTTTCATCTCCATTCCACTGATTTGAATGTTACAAGGTGTCCGTGACACTTGCCTTCTTCCAGAATCATGTCCTCATTTAGGCAGGAAGAAAGCAGAAGAAAAGAGTTTCTCATTCTGACTTTTTCATGTTTTTTAGATGGGAAACTTCCCCAACAGACTTCCCTTCAAATTTCAGCGAGAATTAGGTTCTATGCTGTGTTGAGACTAGTGAATGGTCAGTAAGATGGAGGCCATCAAAAAAGGGTTAGACCAGTCATGATTTAGCCCCAGGATTAGAATACGGGCTTCTGCTACCAGAGATAGTAGATTTCACCTTCCACTTAAACAGGTTATGGATAAGTTAGCAAGGAAAAGAGGATCACTGCGTAGTTAATGGACAATATGTGTTACAGTAAATATCACCTGAAAAGAACTGGATTTGTTGGGGCACCTGGGTGGCTCAGTCGGTTAAGCGTCTGACTTTGGCTCAAGTCATGATCTCACGTTTGTGAGTTTGAGCCCCGCGTCTGGCTCTGTGCTGACAGCTAGTTCAGAGCCTGGAGCCTGAATCGAATTCTGTGGCTCCCTCTCTCTCTGTCCCTCCCCTGCTCGTGTGCATGCTCTCTCTCTCTCTCAAAAATACATAAACATTAAAAAAAATTTTAAAAACTGGATTTGTTAAAATGAATTATTCATGTCACATGCTATCCTCAATTGCTCTTTATATTATTTATGTTCATTGGCAATATTTCATATGAGCAATGTCTGTTTCTTTAAGGATATTACAAATGCATGAGTTCTATATTTTTAGTTATAGTGGAAAGGAAAATATGCAGTATTGAAAGATACATTGTTTTTATTAGCTTTTGTTTTCAAATGTAGGTCTCCCTCTTATAATTGCAAGGGAAATTCAAATGTTAATTATATTCTCTGTCTTCTCTTAGACCTGAAAAGATAAATATGAATTTAGATTCCATTCATCAGTTAATTGAGGAAACACAAATGTTCCAGATGCAGGAGTCCTCAGTTAAACCCCCTTGTGACATGTTAGTACCTGCTTCATCACCCAGGGACACCTGCCATTCCTGTTCACCACCTCAGGGGCTGCAATCATGTGCCGCCCACAACTTCTGTGCTCACTCGTGTAACACCAGTGAGTGGAATATTTGTGAAGAGCTTCGCCTGCGGGAACTTGAAGAAGTCAAGGCCAGAGCTGCCCAGATGGAGAAGACCATGCGGTGGTGGTCAGACTGTACTGCCAACTGGAGAGAAAAATGGAGTAAAGTCCGGGCCGAAAGGAACAGCGCCAGGGAGGAGGGAAGACAGCTCAGGATAAAATTAGAGATGACAATGAAGGAACTGAGTGCACTGAAAAAGAAGCAGAGCTTGCCACATCAAAAGGAGGTATTGGAAACCGCCCAGGACCTAAAGCATCCTACTTTCATAGAAGCGCCTTCTGCACAAAGAGACCAATTTCACATTGGTTCAAAAACATGGGAGTCTATCAAAGACTGTCTGGTAAAAAGGGAATTTCCTACAAAGGAGAACCCAGATAGTAAGGTAAGAAAAACACCCACAGAGGAACCAGAGGTTATGTGCACATTTGAATGCCGTACACAGTAATGGGGAGGAAAGGGACAATGACACACACCAGTGGTTGTGGTTTTCCAGATACTTTAGTTATTCATTTTATCTTCTTAAATAGTATCAGTTTATATTGCTGTCGGAGGCCGGCTCTGGCCGGGTGCAGGGGTCCCTGAAGGATGGATGGTGTCTGCGAGGGAGGGATGGGAGAGGCCACGAGAATCTTTCTGGTCACCAGGCAGGCATCTCTGCTCTGACTGTGGCTCAACTTTATTTTATAATTAAGTGTTTGGGGGAAGGCACAGACGTGGCATTTGCCTTAGACAATGATTTCTGATGACAAACTTCTTTGATATGTAAGAATTTCCTGGAACATAGATTTGTAGAAGATTCCTGCATAACCTTTATCAATAGTGAGTGAGGTAGGGGATTTAGATGCTTATCCTATGGGGAGGGAAGGTATCTTTAGCATACAAGACAATGTTTTTAGCATAAAAAAGGTGAAGTTACTTCTTTGTGAGCAGGGGTCAAACAGGTCTTTCAGGAAACACCTCTGCTCCCATAATCACAAAAGAAGAAGTTCCTCAATAGGCTCCTTCACAGGGAGCAATCAGCATATTCAAGGCCAAAATAAATCACTCCAAATGCTGATGACAAATGCCTTGGGGGCTTGTGCTCCAAGCAGAAACAATTGAGTGGGGGTGGATATCTGTCCTTAACTCTAAATTAGGCTCTTTGTTTCAGGGCCAGACTCAATGGTAACTCTTGTGTTCTTAACTCCCTTTATTATGTAAGTCTTGGGTCTGCAAGGCCCTTAGGAAGAGCCTTTTGACAATCATCCACAGTGCTTTCACCTGAAATCTCTTTTGAAAAGTCAGGAATATGCTTTTCCTTATGAGACATCTGTGTGGGGAATATCGGTCTGATCTGGAATATTGTGAGGCCTGGTCAATACCAGCAGCCTCATTTCCAACATGAGCCAGTAGTAACAGAAGGAGATACCAGTTTTCGTTTTTCATGGCAGGAGCTGTGCAAACACTGCCATTTCCTCGCTGTGACTGTCATCCAGCGAGGCCAGTGCGGCTCCCAGCATATTGCTACCCCTTTCTATTTAATTCCATCTCTAAAAATATAAAACATACCTTGCTCTTCTATAGTTCCATCTAAACTCTTAAGTCTTGGTGTGATGTATGGCATTTATGGTAGATGTAACCTGGTTACACTGTAAATAAAAATTTTTCAAAGACTGAAATGTATTTTATCAGATGGTAGAACATAGAAGGGAAAAAGAAAGCTTGAGGAATGCAAGTTAAAGGTCAGTCATACACCTCTATATAATTTCTTTATACAAAACAGATTTGTTTCGTTCCAAAAATATGATTTTTCTACACTAGATATAAAAATTTATCAATTGTTTTATTATTTTTTTCAGGAACAAGGTTTGAATATTGACCAGTTAAAATTAAATGAGGAGATGAAACTCAATCTTAACTGTCCTGATTCATTCAAAAATGTTGTTTCTGAAAACAGTGCACTGAAGTCTTCATTAAGACTGAAAGCAAAAAACCTGCCTTTGGAGAATGAAGTGCCTGAAATTTTAGCTTTGCAGATACATCTGGATGAGTTCCAAAAAGTTTTACGGAAAGAAAGAGAGTAAGTGCAAATCATTGTCTCCCTTAACCAAGTCTGATTTTCAAACTTATTAAAATTAAGTCAAGCAAACTGTACACTTGATAATGTATTTTATGCAAAATTAATCATTAAGTATTAATATTTAAAAAATTAGTTTGATATATTGATTTTTTAATTTTTAAAAATATTATTTAATATGTAAATATGAAACAACACACGACTGCACAGGCATTGGGCCAAAGAGGAAATCAAACAGCAGATCAAAATGTATCTCAAAACTTGAGAAAAAGGAAACAGACTATTCCAGCACCTGTGGGTTGCAGCAAAAATGGATGTTAGAATGTAATTTATGCTATAAATGCTTGTATTAAGAAAAAAAGTTCAGGGGTGCCTGGGTGGCTCAGTAGGTTAAGCACCAAACTCTTGATTTTGGCTCAGGTCATGATCTTACAGTTCATTAGTTCAAGGCCTACGTTGGTCTCTGTGCTGACCATGTGGAGCCTGCTTGGGACCCTCTCTCTCCTTTATCTCCCTCTCTCTGTAGCCTTCCCCCACTCACACTGTGTCTTTCTCTTTCTCTCTCAAAAATAAATAAATTAATTTTTTTAAAAAAAGAAAAAAGTTCCAGTAAACAACTTAGTATTATATCCCAAGAAACTAGTAAAAGAAGGAACTTAGCTGAAATTTAGTAAAAGAAGGAAATAACAAAGAAGAATCAGAAATAAATAAAATAGAGACTAGAATAACAACATAAAAGTAACAAACAATTTTGTAAAAAGTAAACAAAATTGGCAATGTTTTAACATTAAGAAAAAAAAAGAAGACTCAAAAACCAAAGTGAGAAATGGAAAATATTACAACAGATAACCACAGAGATAAAGAGTGTGCTAACAGATTATCATAAATAAATTAAAAAAAAAATAGATGATTCCTAAAAATGCAAGATTGAATCATGAATCTTGAATCCAAGAAGTAGGAAATCAACTTAGACCAATAATAAGAATGAAAGTTGGACTAGGAATAAAAAATCTCCCAGCATAGAAAGGCCAAGACCATATGGTTTCATTGGTGAGTTCTACCAAACATTAAATAAATTTAATGACAATCTTTATCAAAATTTTACAAATAATGGAATAGAGGGAATACATTCAAAATCATTCCATGACACTAATTGAACCCTGACATCAAAGCAGGATAAAAACAATACAAGAACAAAAAAGCCTAGCTTTTCTGATATAAGAATTACTATTCTGACTTTCTTTTGACATCCATTTGCATGATGAATGTTTTTATGTCCCCTCACTATCAATCTGCAGGTGTCTCTAGGTCTAAACTGAGTCTGTTATAGACAGCATATAGATGGGTCTTGTTTGTTGTTGTTGTTGTTTTAATCCATTCTGACACCTGTGTCTTTTGATTGGAGCACTTAGTCCATTTACATTAAAGTAATTCTTGATAGATATATATTAATTGCCATTTAGATCCTTACAAGAGAGAAAAGAGTTACAAAAGAATTAGAGATGGAGAGTGCAATAAAGGAGTTTGGAAACAGGCTTGAAATGAACAGCAGGCTGGAAAAAGCAAAGGAACAAATTAGTTACCTAGAAGACAAAAATAATAGAAAATAATGAAGCTGGACAAAAGAGAGAAAGAAGAATTATGTAATGTGAGAATAGATTTAGGAAACTCAGTGACTCCATCAAAAGTAATAATGTTCTCATTATAGAAGACCTGGAAGAGGAGAGAGAAAAGGGCAGAAAATTTATTTCAAAAAATAATAGCAGAAAACTTCCCTAATCTGGGGAAACAGATATCCACATCCAAGAGACACAGAGAACTGCCATCAAAATCAATAAAATCAGGCCCAAACCAAGACATTCTATAATTAAATTTGCAAAATACAGTGATAAAGAGAAAATCTTACAGCAAAACAAAATAAGTCCCTAACTTAAATGGGAAAACCCATAAAGCTGGCTGGAGATTTCTCAACAGAGTTGGCAGGCCAGAGGAGAGTGGCGTGATATTTTCAAAATGCTGAAATGGGAAGAATCTGCAGCCAAGTTTACTCTATCCAGCAAGTCTGTCATTCAAAGCAGGAGAGATAAAGAGCTTCCCAGACAAAAACTAAAGGATTTTGTGACCCTGAAAGAAATATTAAAGGGAACTCTTTGAGTACAGAGGGGAGAGCAAAAATGACAAAGACAAGAAAGGATCAGAGAAAATCTCCAGAAACAATGACAAAGTAAGTCATTTTTTGGCTTGTTAGTTTTTAGTTTTTATTATTCTTTTATCATAATCTTGTTCTCATCATCTCTGGCAGATTCACCTTGAGATATTTGAGTTATTATTGTTTATGGCTAAAATAGCCAGTGTGTTTTCTAATTTTTACAGCATTAGTAGATGTCAGCAAGTCGATAAAAATGAAAAATATATTGATATTTATAAGGGACAACTCACAGTTTGTGAGTTACTGACTGCAGAAAAAAAGGTGCTTTATTCATTGGCTAAATGTGGTGTAGAGCAAAGAGCACAAGACTTAAGATTAAAGGACCCAGGTATTCACCTTGGATCTGACTTACTCAGCGACATGATAGTGGGTTAGCCAAGAGTGTGCTGTTGTCTCCTTCATAAATATATGGATAGTTGTGCCTATGTCCCAGTTATCAATTGTTTTAAACAAACCTTCCCACACAATGCTTAATATTGAAACAACAATCACCATATATTCTGTTCATGGAGCTAGAGCATGGCTTTGTGTGGACAACTGCTCTGTTACTACCTGAGGCTTCAGCTGGGATGGTTCAAGGCTAGAGATGACTGAAATGTTGGGGGCCAGAATCATGTGAAGCCTCCTCACTCACTCTCACATCTGGTGGTTGATTTTGGTTCTCCCCCGGGGTCTTACGTGGAACACCTGCAGGTGCCTTATCCATGTGGCCATTTTGATTCAGCACAGTACTGGCTTGGTTGAAATTGGACTTCTTAAGAGCACAGAAAGAAATAGATGGCATTTTAATGACCTTGTCCCAAAAGTCACTCAGCATCACTTCTGCCTTCACTGATTTCTTTTTTTTTTAATGTTTTTATTTATTTTTGAGAGAAAGAGAGACAGAGCATGAGTGGGGGAAGGGCAGAGAAAGATGGAGACACAGAATCCAAAGCAGGCTTCTGGCTCTGAGCTGTGAGCACAGAGCCCGATGTGAGATCATGACCTGAGCCAAAGTTGGATGTTCCCCTGACTGAGCCACCCAGGCGCACCCTACCTTCACTGTTTTTTTATGAGGATCAAACACAAATAATGTCTGGGAAAGTGACTATTTGTGAGGATTACTTGGTATGATTTTTGTGATTATTCCCTCATGACTACCTTAGACAATTATTAGCATTGTGTGGAATATTTGATACACTTTAAAACATGGTCCCCAAATCTAAAAATAAGTATTTTCCATCTCTTAGTTATAAGACTCTTAATAGGCAGAAAAAAATGGGGAAAATAAGCATGAATATAATTCTGTATGTTATATAATGGTTTCAATTTTCCGGGTTTAAATGGATTGGAATAGTGACTACATGCACACAAACATTTCACAGACACTATAAGCCCTTTATCTGCCTTTCTTTTTCTGTTAGCCAGAAGTTTCTCATTAGTCCCTCTGAAATGTATTCCCACCACTAATACCCTTTTCCAGATGCTTTTTCTATAACTTACCATATGAATAGGCTGTTATAATACAATCATAATACAATCGATTGTGATAATATACTTGGGTATATAATAAATATTTGTTATTCACCATCAAGTATCAATTCCTAATAGAGGCAATCAACATTAGTAAAAAGGAGAAAAAAATTGAATTAAATTTTAGGCATGGCCCCATATTAACATTTATTTTATCTGGAGCTAGATCTCAGTCAAGTTCTAATCTGTGTTTTATTTCCTGAAGGATTTGGCTTTTTAGTGGTTATAGTCTTCTCTCACACCCACTCACAATGTTACTTTACTGACATAATGTAGTGCAGACCATATGAAATGGCTGTTTCCTACATGTAAACTCCCTGAGGTGCCAGTTTTAATGATACACATGAGTATCACTACACTCCCACTCACACACACACATATACACGCACAGAGATGTCTGACTTCCTTGGACTAAATTAACAATCCCCATAGTACATAAACTCTTCAGTTCTCCACAACTTCAGCATATAAACCATAGACAGGCCAGAAAATAAGGGAGGAAGGGGACCTTTGATTCTCCTTTGTCTCTTCAGCAAATAATCCCTTGGGTGTTATACGTCCATAAATCAACATTAGCATGCAGCCCACATGAGGGAATCACAAAACCTTTTTTCTATCACAAGAGAATGTTTCCCAAGGATATAGTATATACTGTTGCTATAAATCTGTCTAACCTTTTAAATTCTGCCTCCTGGAATCTCAGCAAATAGATGGCTGGAGTGGAGAACATGTGAATGCAATTTTTTCTATGTTCCCAGCTAGTGGGAAAATTCCCCTGACTAGAGCATAGAAATCAGCCAAGAGAACTCTAGGGCTCGTTTCCACCATTGTCACTGTGGAGAACTTCCTTATTCAAAACAAGAAACTTTCTTATATGATTTGTATTCTGAGTACTGTTCAGTTTTATGAAAAGAATTATCCAGTATCTGGAAGCCCCTTGTGTATTGAGAATGTGTACATATTTTTGATCTCTTGGATAAAGTCTTCCCAGGTAGAAAATTTGAGGTAAGGACAGGAACCTGATCCTTTTACTGAGCTAGACATATCTAGACCTTTCGGAAGACGAACTTTGGCAATATGAGATCTTATTGTAAGGGAGATGATGAGGGAAACTATTTTAATATTTAGAACCAGTTCTCAAATTAAACTGCAGATGGCACCTGCGTCCCTTAGAAAATGCTCTGTGTTGTTTAAGCTGAGCTATAATCAATCCTCCTTCTCAATTTTATTTCTTCGTTTATTTTCCATATAAGAAAAGTAGCATGCTTCAGTTATTTTGCTT